GAGTGTTTGAATTAACCATAACATGGTGCCATAACCTGGGCAATGTGGTGCCTATATCCAAAACCTATGTAAGTGTGAGCACAAAATTTCGAGTTCCAGAGCCAGCTCAGTTGGATCTGTGTGTATTTTCCATTGTAAACAAAATCTATTAAAAGAGGTAAGAATGTAAAATTTTATCAGCACTTAACAAAATGAAGACTCCTTTTGTAGAAGACAGGACACAAAAACATAACATTTATTCGTGAGGAATCCTGGTGAAACTGCTTCCACTCCTTTGGTCTGTTGGACCTATTCTAATTTAAGACTGAATTTTTTGCTGTGGCACACAGGAGCTAAGCTCACTGTTCAAACAGATGCCTCTGTAGCTGTACAGGGAATCTTAAAGTGGTGCCATATCTCTGGAGGTGCTAAAGCTTATTTCCAGAAATACCATTAGCTATGATGCCATCTGTAACAGGGCAATCCTTGGCGAGTGAGCCCCATTTTTTTCAATATGTTACAGGAAAATGTTTCTAAGATGTCAAACTCTCCCCATATTCCTTTCTCTCATTCTTTGGGTACTATTTGAGATATTTTGAAAGAGACAGGTATTTTGTTTGTATAAGGCATTCCAGCCTTTCTGAGCTAAAACCAAAGTCTGGTAGATTTGGACCTCACCATTTGGAATATGGATTCTWTTATCTCCCCAGTTTTGATAAGTTAAAAAGGCATTATCAGTATCTTAAAGCTCTTCAAGACTTGTAGCTCACAAGTAAAAAGCATGTAACATCATGTATATAAATACATGAGGATCAGCATGGCATCATAGCATCTACTTTTCACTGGGATTTCATGATTTTATATTTTTTTGGCATTCCCACCATGGAAAATCAAAATGAAAGTGGCATTTCAATATATTCCATTAAAAATATCCGGTTTCTCCTCCAGCTTCTCAGAGGATTTAATTTCTTCTCTTTATTTTCTGTGTATGGAAAAGTGTTCTAAAGCCTCTTTTACTTGGTTTAATGCTGAGTGTGATTCAATTCAGTGTTGTAATGTGAGTTAATTGAACTAAACAAAGGTCTCACTGCCAACACTTTCAACAGGAACAAAGAGATGATATTTTAAAATGCAATAAAAATTGCCAATTCTTAACAGTATTTCTATTCTGCTCACTGGAAATGAAATGAAGAAAGCAATCAAATAGAGATAATAAACCTCAAATGCTTTCATTGTTACAGTAGTCCTTATTGTTGTTTTTCTGTTTTCTTTCCTTTTGGCTTTTTGTCTTTTACCCTTACCATCAAGTCTGACAACATAAAGTGACTGTGATAGAAAGCAAAATGTTGAAGCTGAAAAACGCCTTATGTTTACTACTTTTTTATTAAAAAAGCACACAGAAAAAAAGAATTATTTTTCCTTGATGAAGAATAATTAAAACTTAAAATTAATCTTGCGCCACCTATTCTTTACATACATCCAGGCTAGAACCTGGATATACAGAGAGTAATGAAAAGAAACAGATTCCTTCAGTGGCAGGAAAATAAACACTACATTTTTCTCCTCAGGAGACTGAAATCAATATTTAGAGCAGACTACTGACAGTGTAATAACCACCTTGAGTGCCAGTGCAAAGCATCCTCAGGGATGCACATTCAGGAAAGCCCAGAAGATGCAGGTGAGCCTCACCAGGCTACTCCCACAAGGCAGGGAAATTATTTGGATATCCTTTTCTGMCACAGCTATGGTGTCAGCAGGGAGAAGTGCTTGATACAGACCAAACAGCCCCTGGACCAGCAAAACTCAGTGGGCTGGCAAATGTAATCTGCTCACAAAATCTCCCCCACTGGTTGATATTGCAGATGCAAAGCTCACTGGAGTTTTGTGARGTTCTCAAAAGAAACGCATGCAAAGCAAGGCTTCCTTTTAGGATTTCCTTCCTGGGCAAGGCACCTTTTAGGATTTCCACTCATAACCTCTCTGTGCAYCTCCCACCAGTCCCATCTACTGCTTTCCAACAACCCACATCTCTGCATAGCTTAGAGCTTTAAATATCCATTTGCAGCTTTCTGGTTCCACAGCCTTTCCAAAATTTCTGCAAAAGATCCAATGGTGCACTTTATTTTCGTTGCAAAACATCAATATCTGTCAGAATAAGATTTTAAAGATATATATTTCATATTTAGTGTCTGAATATGCTGTACAACCCCCCAAAAATGGTATCTGGTCTATTCAGTCTGGGTTCTTATCGAACACCAAACATACTGTATGTGATTCAGAATATTTATTCCTTTCCTCTTTGAACAACTGAATAAAAGAAGTTGGAGCCATTATACTAGATCTTCAGAAACCACAACACTTCAAAATATTATTTTCTTTCCAAATAAAGTAAAATTATCTATTTAAAGACTCCAAGGAAGACTTTTATCTTCTTTCTTCTCCCAAAAATGTTTCTTCTCTCTCCACTTGAAAAATTAAAGGAATTTGGTGAAGCAATAAAATTGTCAGGAATTAGTAATAAAAATGTCAAATTTGTCCAGAAAGATCTTTCACAAAAAGCCTTTCATTTCTCTATAGCCACAATGCAATTTTGGTATTTTTTTACCTTGTTTGATAACAAAGTAATTATTTTGACATTATTTATGACTGTACCAAAAWTATAAAATCCTATAAATGGCTGAGACTGAAACTATAAACATGAGAGGTCTTTTTTCAGGTTTTGAAATATTTAATTTTCCCCAAGATTATGCCATAAAAGTATCACTCCTGCTAAAGTAAAATGGACAAAATGTTGCCTAAAGAGTCAAACATTACAACCATTCATGTTACAAAGACTGTTGAGCAAAACTGGGCTTAGATAGAATAGAAATTAGGCAGACTTCAAATTTACAGTAAACAAACATTTACCAGAAGTTTGACAAGGGAAATCACACACACTGCAAATGATGGAAAACTCCCCCAGTCTGCCCCTGACCCAGCCCTAACTTCATGGTTAAGGTGAGGATGCTCCCACCCACTCCAATACATTTCTCATGTGGAGAAACATCACAGGYCAAGCTCAAACTATGTTCCAAATGGCACAAAATGACAAAATATTTCAGCCCAAACAAAGAAGAGAGAAAACAGTGAAATGACAGCAATAACGAGTTCATTTTCTAGTGATCTGACAGAAATCCTATCCCTTCAAAGAATTAAACAGCTTCTAAGGATGATTAATGAGGAAAATTATCATATTGATTATCTTGATGATGGGAGATAGAAGGAGATGGGAAGTAATATGACAGAGGTGAGAGTGAGCTCAGAGGAGAAATTGGCTGCATATTCACACCAATAAATATGGGGTTTATTTCCATGTGCTGCGAATTGTGTTGTGGAATAAATGTGCTTATGAAACCTACAATTAAACCTGCATGGCCATTACTACACAACAGGACCATTTCCAGTGTACATATAAAGGGTCTGTTAAAACTGTGTACACTCTCCTAGTCAGCAAATAGRTCAGTGACCACCACTTACTCTGTTTTTTAATGAAGGGATTTGAGAATATGCTGTAATCTTATAAGAAACATAATTTGCATTATTCTTTTGTGAACCAGAATGAGAGCAAAAGAACCTTTTACTTAGTGTTTGAAACTTTTAAATCAAGGGCTGGAAAAGGGAAAGTGGCAAGAGCAACCMTTTTCTGACATTACCTGCTTTTCCTTAACATCCTTAACTATTTTAATAGTAAGTAGAACAGATGTTGCAATATAATCTCTCTGCTGAGAACTAAATGACAGTCCCCAGCTGTAGGGGACACTAAAGTAGTAAAGARGGGAAAATGTGCAGATAAAGAAGATACATTTTGTCTAATTTACTTGTGATGATGCATAAAATAAAATGTAAATAATTTCTGTTTGGAGGAGATGAACATTTGCAATCAGAGTGAGACTGTACTGTATGACCTGGGTTTGCAACTGAGGTAGTGTGGTACCCTTTACCTGAATTTGAACGTAAGAATTATATAAATTCCACCTTCATCATCATTAACAYAGCACAAAACCCATACCATTAACACAAATGACAACAAGGAGATGTGATTAGTCTCAACTCGGATGGGCAATTAAAATTTAAAAAAACAGGAAAGGAAGTATTGTTTAGCTGTCTTTGAACAAAGAGGTTCTGTTATCCTGGCTTTGCAGGGAAGAAAATTATCAATATTGCTAATTCAGGTTTGCAATTAAGTCGGTGTCAATGTTGCTGAGAAAAGAAGATAATAATTAGAGCAACATGATTAGTATTGACCTGAATTTTCAATAAAAATCATGTCGACGTTTTCATTTAGACCTGTAAAATTAATTCCTGGGCTCTACAAATGACCATATAATTAACTTGCAGTTACTTTACAATTASAGAGTTATTTACACAATACATTATTTTTTATATAATCATGTGCATAACAAATGGTGAGATGAATGCAGGGTTCCCAGAGGCATCCAATCCTTAAAACTTCTACACTTCTTTGCAAAAGCATTCCTAAGGTTTTAAATACTTTACTACCAGAAAAAAAAATACTGCTTCAGAAGACTTCATTCTCACTCCAAATATTGGTTTCTTCATTAGAAGTACTCATTTTAGTTAATCTCTAGTTAAATCTCTATGAATGACCTCACAAATAACTATCATATCCATTTATTTTTAATACTCTGCATGCGTCTAGCAAATGTGACCAAGAGAATACTTAAATGGACATAAATTGGTTGTGTAATCAGCATTATGGAGTCCCATGCAAAAAAACAAAACRGAGAAGAGTATTTAAATGCTACTTTTGAACCTCAGTGCACTTTTTTTTCACTTATCTTCCTCTGCAAATCCAAGTACAATATATCAAAACAACATGAAAAGATAAGACAAAAAAATGGATTTTTCTTAGGGGGGAATAAAAAGCTTTCTCATGCTCTTTCCCTGTTTCCTCACAAGAGAAAAGGATAACATGAGCACAGCAGCATTCTCTGTCTCCATCTGTTTTATAACAGGCTCACCTCCTTCTTCTCCTTTTCCTTCTTCTTCCTTTTCCTCTGCACCAACAATCAAAGGTTTCTCAACTTCTGTTGTGTCTTCTTGGTTCAACAGTGGCTCTGAATAAATTTGATAAAAAGATAAAGAGTAAGGCTTTTCAGAATGGACACAAAAAGATTAACATCCACGAGAGACCTTGCTGTTAAAAACACTGGCAGAGGAAAAGCATCCTTTCCTCYGGTAGCACAAATATGAAAGCTGCCCAAGGAAATCCAAGGGGCTCTATTTCTGAGCAAACCCTATAAATTACAAATTCCCTTGAAGTGTTGAAGGCCAGGTTGGATGGGGCTTTGCACAACCTGGTCTAGTGGAAGGTGTATCTGCCCATGGCAGAGGAATTGGAACTAGATAATCATTAAGGTCCCTTCAATCCCAATGATTCCATGCTTCTGTGTTAGTGTTTTTGCTTGTTAATCTTGCTTTTTGCTTTCAAGACACATGGAGTACCTTCTATTTCCATGCAGGAGCCTTGGGAATCTGCCCCAGTTTTTATCTTCTCACTTGCAGAAATATCCTGTTGTCCTGTTAATGCAACAAACAGAAAATGTTTATCAGGATGATCCTGTGTGCAGGCAATGCTAAATTCATCAAAAGAGAACATGAACCTCTAACACACCATGGTACTTCTCAGCCAAGCACTAATTTTTTTATTTTTTTTTCTATTAGGTGAACAATTTTGGACACATTTATATATGCAAATATCACTTAACAAACTCTAAGTTTGTTAAATTTGTTGGTTAAGTTTGTGAAATAGCTGGTCAAAACTAATCCTGCAGCACTTATTTTTTTTAACTCTTTTGCAGCACAGCTTTGACACAATTCCTCTTAAGAGCTGTTGTAAGGTGCTTGCAGAAGGACCAGAAACACCCCACAAGCTTTCAGAACCACAACATAAGAGGACCATTGTAACAATGCTGTGCAGGATCAGTACAGCTAAACCTATTTAAGAGACCCCTACCAGCCAACAGAATTTCTCTAAGGTGGCAGAGGTCAGGCWGAAACCCACTGCATGTGACACTGGAAGAACTAAACTTTCCCACTGCTTCATTATCTCTGTCTCAAAAATTTTTGATGCAAAACTTTACCTTTGGCTTGGTCTTGTTCACATAYCACAGGATGCACTGAATCACTCTCTGGCATGCCTTTGGAGTCTTTCAGGGAATCTGAGGAAAAAGCAAATAAACAGATGAATCCTGAAGCAGCTTTTATGCTGGAAAAGTAGTTACTTGAGTTAGAGGTAGCCCTTAGGTGCCAGTTTCATATCTGGCATTTTGATATACTGACTGATTTTCTATCTGTTCAACAACAGTCTTATAAACTAAAGAAGTTTACTCATGGGTTTCCATTATTCAAACTGATTTCAGAATCCCTACCCTTACTGAGCAGTTTTTGCCTGCAGTACAAACCTCAAACAATAAGGATGTGTAAGTATAATCAGCAGCGTTACTAAGAATTTTATTTCTAATGAATGGAGCAGAATAAATCTAAAAGAAATAGCACAAACCACCTACTTGATAAATAAAGTGATTTTTATTTATTTAGACTAACAGTTTTCTGTGGTTGGATTTCCTGAAACTTGATAAACATGAARTCCCATAAACCCCTGTGCAAATCCYAGCCTCMYRTCRCTTGATKACAGAACTCCCAAGGTCATTGTGGCTGAGAGTGTTTTMTTTTTTGGGGCAGACCATCAAAATGAACTGCCCAAAGCCATACTCTGAACCATGAGATTTAAATAACATGGTAGAAAGTCCTATTGCAGTGCTCTCTGGGATCTTTATAAACACATGGCATTATTTGGTTGTGTGAAACAGCATTTTCTGACAACAATCACTTACTTTTTGCATGGGGATGCCAAAAAATATAATGCATAATTCCACTGCATTCAGGTTATACAGCACCATAGACATTCAATGTAGTTTTGCTCAGATTTCATAGGATAAAGAGTTGTTTTTGAGCCTTGTTAAAAACCAGTGCTGATCTAAGTGGACAGTTTGCAAACTGCAGGCCATAAAAGCAGCAACAGACAATCAGTATTTGTGTTCCCATGTAAAATGCTGCTTGATGGGAAAGGTGACAGTGCCAAAGATTTATAGCATGTGATAATAAATTACATTATGACAGTTTTTTTAGGACTTAAATCCCTTTATGGCTTATAACTTTTTTACAGTGTAGCTGAGCAAATCTCACAATATATCCAAGAATGCCCCTGTAAAACTCTGTTCCTGAAAAATAATCTCTGATGGGTAAGTGAGAAAGCTAGGTTGTTAATATCTGTTCCAAATTTAATAATCTGTAAGAAAGSTATGTGCTGAAAATGTGTGGCTTTAATTAACTGCAAATAATCCCACAAGGCAAATATTTAATTACCTGCAGTTTCTTACTTCTTTTATGGCATGACAATAAGTTTAAAAAMCCCAAGTTTGAAAGTAGAATAACTCACTGATGCACAATTTGCTAAACTTTATACTTGCTGCATGTTTTTTTTTTGCCCTACTGTGAACTTAAAATGCTACTCACTCTTCTCAGGTGGATCACTGTACCAGTTTTTCATACTAGGAAACCATATTGTACAATGAGATTCAAAGGATTACCCTTATCAGCCTGAATTGCAACAAAACTAAATTGGAATTTTATCAAATTCCAAGTTTAATCAAAATCCAGTTGAAGGATCTCCTGGTATAAATGGGAACAGCACAAAAACTCTTTAGGGAATTTTTCAACCAAAGTTAAAACATATAGAGCGAAATTCTGGCTTTGCTGAAGTTTTTGACAAAGCTTTAGGATTTGTACTATCTGTAACTCCATACCCTTAATTGATACAATATTTTTCTCTGTGTGATAGCTCCATGGYTGTAAAAGGGACTGTATTGGCAAAGCTGCAATCAGAATTCCTCTGCCTTGAGTACTGTGATGCCAGGGCCCAAACACAACCCTTCAAGCAGTCAAAAGTGATGGTAAACGTGGAATCACCTGCTCTGGGAGGAGGAAAGGCAAGCAGTTCTGCCCCATTCCTCCCTCAGAGCTCTCTTACCCCACACCTATTGCACAAAACTTCATTCTCCCACAGCAGTGTCCTTAATCTCTGTTCACAAGTGCCATCTTTTTTTTTCCAGAATGAGCAATGGCTCCAATTTCATGCAAAAATCAATCTGTGGCATCAGAGGCACAGTTCCATGCTGTGGTCAAAGATAACAAATGGATTTTAGAAATCTCGTGTTTGGCTGATGTATGTGCCCTATCGTGCTACCATTTGATGTGGACCATCAAAGAKTGAAGGGTGTTTYACTATTCCCACCTATTGGCACAGCAGGCACAYTGTCCCATGGGCTTTATTCTTAAGGAACTGTAATTTTGTGTTAATTTTTCATTTTTTGTCATAAACAGTTGTCCTATCGCTCCCAGGTTTGAGAAAGCAATTTAAATGCACTGAATTCCAAATKATCCCAGGCAATATACAACGATAATTTTTCACCAGTTGTTTTTAGCAAACTGTGTCTCTGAAAATACCAAAAAATGGACCAAGTTAGTGCCTAGCAGTAAGAGTCTGGCACTCTTATTTCAGCAGCAGGAACCTGTCTTGATTGGTGTTAACATGCAGATTCTGAGTTCCCAAATCCTTAAGGTCAAGACCATGTCAAAGGTTCCTTCTCTTCAAATGTAAATATTGTACCAAATATTCAAGACAAAAATCCAAAGACAGATTAACTTTTAGGATTAACGAGACTAAAATAGAGTAAAGGAATAAACCCAGACTTATGAAGCAAAACTGCCACGTGAAAGGGAAACTGTAAAACCAAAGGCAGTGATCAATAAAAAGGCTGATGATACAGTAGTTTCTGTGCGCAAGTTTTCAGTAGGGTGCTGGTATTCCTCAGACTCAGCTGATCCTCTGTATTCACCCAGCCCATTAGAGCCTTGTGCAACTCTGCATTAGCCCAGTATTGTAKYCCTACATGATTCCAGAGTTTAAAAKAGCTCAGGCCRTCYCTAAAGCCTTTGTTCACCTCTTATTTACCTGATCTTTTAAAATGCCATAAAGCAATGTCAGTCTGCCCCTAACACTGTTAATTGTCTGTTAAGTCATACCAAAGAATCCAGGCCAGAATACTTTTTCACAGCACAGTATTGCCTAGCTTTTTGATAACATACACACTGGGCACTATTTACTTTGAATAACTACAAATTGTGACTGTAAAGGTTAACACTTCTCCAGCCAGGACTGAAAAAAAAAAATCTGTGTTTCTGATACCACACTGGAGCACACTYCCTAACATCACACATGACATTTAATTGCATAAATCAGCCAAAGATAAGCCACGTTTATCTACTGCACATCAGGAGCTGAAGTGTTCMCTGAAGTCTGAGCATCTTTTAGATCTCTCAAAACTCCTCCTTGCTGKCTGGAGTGGCAGTGTCCATGTCAGGAGTGCTCCTCTCTGCACCCCTCCATTTTATTGAAACAAGTGTCTTGTGGGACTGCATGCTTGAATCCACCTGGGAATTAGCCCCAGTCTTTAACAACCTGTGAACAAAATATTTAGGCTTTAAATAAACTCATCAGAATACTCCCCAAGTATATTCACTGCTCCAGTATATCAACTGTATGCTGAGAATTCAGTTTCTTCAAGAAAAGCATGTAGCTTGCAGTAAACTATCAATCCTATCCTTCCTGCCAATAATCAGATATTATTTTGCTCTAATCCTGCATAAATCYTCATGCTTTTCCATGCCTTTCATTATTTCTTTTGACTGGATAAGGCAATGCTGYTCAAAGAAAATTTTGCAAAAGCTAAGGAAGAGAGGAAATGGTAAGAACTGAATGTTAAGTGGTTTTAATGATCTTTTAAAATTCACTTTCCCAGCTACTCTCTGTTTGGCTTATTCACTGAGTAGTTTCTAATGTGCAAAACACCTGGGTCCTGTACACAGCAYAGATAAATCATCATGTTTTAGGGAGCTGTAAGAAGATTAAAGAGGGAAAAAGCTGGTCATTAGGAAAGAAACAGGTTCAGTGCATTTTATTTTTCAAAGCATGATACCGTGATAAATGACTGGAATACTTCCAGAGTGAAAGAGCTCAAGCAGACATCTAAAATTACAGATAAAGGTGTGCATGGAGGCTGCCACATGATTAAGGTATTCTTTCGCCTCATAAACCGAGGAAAATGTGTTAAAATGAAGAACTATAAAATGCTGATTTATGAGAAGTTAGGGAGAGATTTTTGAGCTTTGACTTTAAAATGTWATTTTTATATTCACCAAGATTTCATTTGAACCAGCCTTTATAATAGATTAGATTTACTGGAGTCCAAGTTTAAACAGCTTGGTAAACCAGACCTTTTAAGGTGCAACSACTTGTAGAGATACTTTAGCAAGTTTTCACATAATAGACCAAGCAGTTAATCTCTGCAGGTGGGACCCACCAAACACTTCTTGAATCCTTCAAGCTGACAGAAGGGCATCTCCTCTAACCTCACCTTCTGCCCACCTGAGAAATTCCAGCTGCAGGTGGTATAAAAACCACTGGCATCCTYCTCTGTTTCATTTCCAGGAAATGAAAAAGCTGAGAAAAACCAGACTGTCTTRGTTAGAGCCTGTCCAGGAGAAAGGATTGGAGGGAGGAGATTAAAGGAGCATGATCTCACACTGGACTGATAGGAGCACAGCTGGATGGCTCCAGGTCAGCTAATATTTAAAAAATAAGGAGGATTTAGATAAACCAGCTAAGCAGATTAGTGTGCACTGCTGCAGATACCAGTGCTGGTGAAGGGTAGAGCAGAAATACCTCTTGAGTCGTTCAGGGGCTGGASCCCATCTGGATGCACAACTCAGGTCAGATTACATGTGAAGAAGTGAATAACCCACATTATAAACAGCTCGAAGTGAACATTGTGGAAGTTTTAAAGAGAATAAGTAGCTGGCTGGATGGTGGTTCTGATATCCCTGGTTAAAAAAAACCAAACCCCACAAATCAGCTTGTGACAGCCAGTTTGTTTTCAGAGGAATCTTTCCAACAGGCATTGAAACTCTCCCATTAAGAAAGGTTCTTTTTCAGTTACCTACAATTGAAATTTTTCAGGCTGAAATTTTAGGTCTAATCATAGCCCAAGGGTGGAGTAAAAACATTTYATTGGTAGCTGCTGAGTGCCCAGCACTTCTGAAAATCAGGTCATTCATTTAGATGTCTTAATTAGACATAAGTGCTGATTTTAAACACCTCTTTCTGAACATACTGGCCTTCCAATCAATCTTTTTCACCCACTTACCAATGACTAATTTATGTCGATTTGCACAGCTCCCCTGCATTTGAAATGCTCTATCAGTTTATCCCTTCTCAATCATTTATGTCTTTAGGACATCAATATTTTTTCCATAGTGAGAGCTACAGCTGGCCAAAGAGGAATTTATAACCATTACATTTTACAGGCAGGATACTTACAGGATTCTGGGTTGCCCAGAGAGAATTTTTAGGACTAACCCCTAGCCAGTCATATACCTAATTCTGTTTCTGAAAACACAAATCCTTCAGCCAAATGAAAACACAAGTCCTCCAGAGAATGCAGAAAAATAGTGACTTGCTTTCAGTGGCACTTCCACAGGAGCCCAGACTTTGGTGAACACCTGGAAATAATTAATCACTACTTTATTTTTAAAATTAATTAGTGTATGATTTAATTTAGTTGACCTTCAAATGTAAATTCAGTTCTTATTAAGTGCTAATGAATTATAATCAATGTATTGTGCAACAGAAACTTTGCAGAGCAGGGAATTATGCAATTGTGAAGGTGCTGCCTGGAGATGGCAGTTCTCCCCCCAAGAGATCACAGTTAAGCATGAAAGTTTTTTAAGGTAAAATTGCAACAAATCTTTGCAGACAGTGGAAAGAGAAACTTGGCACAGACTGGAATAAGAGGATACCTCTACAGTGTTACATCAAAAATCCTGATATTCGTGAAATATGACTGTCCTCCCTTTTTTTCTTTTTCTTTTTTTTTTCCTGTAGACAGATGAAAACTCAAAAAAAAATCAGTTTTCTCCAAGACAATGTGCAAATTGGATCTGTGTGGACTTTTTCCTGGACAGCATCTCTTCTATGGCAACAGAAGACAGAGGTTGTCATTTTAATCAGAGCCCCTCAAAACATAATTCCTGCACTGTCCCACATTCTTACCATGAAAATCCCCTTCATGTTCCCATCCTCCCCCTTTTTCTTAAAAGAAAAAAAAAAAAGATAAAGAGGACTCACAACAAAAATACTAGATCTTCATGGCAGCAGAGATGGATATGCTCTGCATTGAATATCAACACATTTTAGAGCAATAAACAACTATTTCAATGTGTTGGCTATATTCTAATCTCAGAAATACAAAGGGGAAAAAAAACAGAAAAACTACTAGTCAGCTCTAATTGRACTCAAAATACATGTTTTGGTGCATTCACAAGCAAGCTGACATTTGAAAGATTTATACTTTCCTAGCAGGAAACCTCCCATTCTGAGTGGTTTAAGCTATGCATTTTGGGTACAGGCAGCCAGACTTGTTTGCAACAAATCTTTCACAGTAATTAGGTGGAAGGACTGGGAAAACAAAATTTCTCTAAATGCTTTATGTCCTGCTCATTTAGTTGAAGATAAACTAYATAAATGAGTGTGTTCCAGAACCTGGAGGTTTTAGCTGTGTTAMCTCAGTGGGCAAACAATTTGAAAGTTGGAATTTATTCCAGAAGCAGCAGGTGTTTTCAGAAATGCCAGGATTTTGTAAAAGTACCATTTCCCAAGAAATCACATGTTTTTTGTAACACTAGAACTCATTTAAAAAACCTAAAAATCTAAAATCATAGAACCATCAAAGAATCACAGAGAGGTTTTGGTTGGAAGGGATTTTGAAAATCATTTCATTCCCATCCCCCAGCAGGGACAAATTCCACTTGACCAGGCTGCCTAAARTCCCATCCAACCTGSCCTTGAACACTTCCAGGGGTAGGGCACCCAAAACTTCTCTGAACAACCTCTGCCAATTCCTCAGCACCCTCATGGTAAAAAATGGCAAAGCTGAAAATCTTCCAATGGAAATAATGATTAAAACCATGACCTGGTACATGATGGCCTCGTTGTTCAAAATTCCAAAATTCTTTTTTCCATTAAGAAAACTAGCAAGCAAATCCAAAAACATGGTCTTCTCTTTTTCCTTTTTTTTTTTTTTTTTTTTTTTTTTTTTTTTTTTTACTTGTACAGTTTTACAAACAAAATCCATGCAGGAGAGTCTGTTTTGCTCCTTTCTCCCTACCAGATGCTTTCCATCTTATGAGGAGAGGTAGGACATCAAAGAGATAATGCACTCTCAGAGCACTACATCTTCTGTCAGCCTCTCAAGTGAAGAGGGGAAAACACTAGATATACTCTTAATGTATTATACAGAACATAAGACTTAATGCACAAAGATGATTTCTTTCCTGAGAAGAGATTATTAATATAAAGGGGTAAAAACCTGGAGGGGTTACACATTGAGAAGCACATCAGAAGACAGTCATCTTCTTAGGAACAAGCACTCAAAACAATACTGATTTGTTGGTATCCTAAATTGACTGCAGACAGAAAAGGAAAATCCAAACTCAAAGCATCAGTRTGACCCTCACATTGTGAAAAACACAAATGCCCTATCTAATGGGGTGTCTTCAATATACAGAATACATAAACAAGACAAATGTCATCAAAACAAGATAAAATAATGACAGGCAATCACCAGCCACACTGGGATTGAATCCATCACTATTTTTGCCTTGCCACAACTTTATTTTGTGATGTATCAAAAGCAACAGCCAATGCTCCAGCAAAGGTTTGTGGGTTCTTTTTTTTCTCTGCAGGATCAATCAATCAGTTAAGAGTGCACTTAAATCAGCCTGCACAAGGCTTTGAACTCATAATCAGGTAAGTATATGGGCTCTCCAGCACGTGGTTTTGGAACAAAAGGGCAGGATCTCATACCCTGTCACACTTATCTAGAAAAACGAGAAGAGAGTCAAGTGGCAATGCTGAATTAAACATTAAATCTTTTAAAATAAATTAGTGAATGGATGTTAATAATTATGTTATCTCAGTAAAATGCAGGAAAATTGTCTATTAGTCTTTCTTGAAGGTTGTACTGCAGGTCTGCATCTATTATAGATAGCATAACTCCTGTTTTGGATTACAAGTAGTGAAAATTTGTGTATCACCCAGATGTTTTCCTGAAGCACCCCCACAAAAATGCCAAAAAATGTAGATCAGCACAAGCAATTATTAGGATGATTATCACAGGAGTATCAAAAGCAATACAGCTGTGCAMTGGTTCCTATCTGCTGGTAAACCAACAACTCCACAGGAAAAATCTCAGCTTGAAACACTTAAATGAGATAATCTCTCTTGTTTCCTAAACTCTCTGTCATTTGGCCCTGTGACACTTTAAAATATTTATCACAAGCTAAATGATCTGAGTGCCCAGCACATTCTGCACAAGATAAACATTACTTTTTGCCTCTCCATTATGACTTCATCTCCTCCTGTCTCCTCCTGATGTGTTTATAGCTATTGTGTGTTCTTTATCCTGCTTCAGGAGAGCACGGAACAGAGAGCTCATATTGCTGAGATAGATGAGATGAGATATATAACTATGTTGAGATATATAACTATGTATGTGGCCTGTGAGTTGTCTCAGTGAGCCTAAGCTTTGGGCTTATTTCAGGTATGTYATTTATGGTATTTTAGTATTAACTCTGTAACAAGAAAAATCAGGAATTCACGGCATCTCTCCTACCAGTCTAACAGTTGGTGTCAAATTCTTCATTACAAAGATGTTTGTAAATGAAAATCCAAGTGTTTGCCTATTTCTGTATCATTTAACTGCAATTTTGGCAATTTCCAGACAAAGGAAAACACTGTTTCATGAGATGTCCTCTTGGAATGGGATATTTCAAAGCACAATTTCCAAACTTTACCTTTATTTTCACTCAGCTCAGTGTCTTCTGATGATAGGCTGGCTACAGCTGAAGGTTTTGTTTCATCTACAAGAACAAAGGAAATAAAAGAGAAGTTAATAGATATAGCTGGTACCTGAACTTAAAAAGTTTTAACTTTCACTGTTGCTTTTTCTTGCTAATTTTTATAGTTCTGAAATTTTTATAAGCTTCTGTTTTCAATTCTAGACTTTAATTTCTTTCAAAAAACTTGTCTCTGATAATTCTGATGATATTTTTTCTTTATATAGCCATTTAATACTTTTAATTAGATTGAAACAAGAGCCATGTTGTTTTTCTGTGTGTTTACTGTGAAGCTCMTTGATGACAGACTGGAGGCCAGACTAAACCAACCCCAAACAGTTGAAAATTTTCAGTCTCYTTCAGTCTAGTACTGTTTTTCCACCACTATAGTTTTCTTTATAATATATACTTTTCTCTATAATATCATKATATTTTTCACTATAATGAGAATATATAAATCAAATCATTTTTTCTTGTAACATTGGCTGAGGAGGTGACTAATGGGCTATGCATGGGCACAACTCTACCTTTAGGCATGTACCTAAATCACATTCCTATAGTATTTTCTGGAGCTGGGACCCCTAATGTCTGGATATTTTCTTTGATGCTCTTCACGTGAATAACAGAACCTAACTACCAATACAAGATAGCAAAAAAATGTACATCACAGGTCTGATAAGCCAGCTCTGACTGCTCATATTGCAACAAGTCAGGACAACAGTTTTGGGAAAAGCGCAGTGCATTTAGAACACCTACAGTGGCAAAGTAGTAGTTCCTTAATTTTCTTGGGAAAAAATCGTGTTTCATTCACCCTATCAGAGTGACTATCACTGACAAGCACAGTGGGCTGTACTGGATATCAGCAAATACCCAAAACCAGGGTGAACAGGAACCTCTGCAGCTCCAGGCATTATTAGCTTTTAGGTGAGCTAAGAGTCAGGCAGTACTTGGTATAGTTAAAAGCTCAAAAACTGCTTGGAAAAAGACATACCCCAGTCTAGTCAGAGATTCAAAACAGAGTCTCAATTCACACAGAATTACTCATTTTTCTCCCTGGTCCCCTTTGCCTATTTAAAATACAGCTAACCTGAAACTGAAAAACCCAGGGAAGGAAATGTGGTTGCTCTCCAGCACTAACAAAACACCACTGTGCACTCATCTTGGGGAGGATAAAGTTTGCTGAGGTCCATGGGAATTTATTTTACTCAGCAATACTGTGKGCCTCTGGCTTCACCTCCCACTGCCTACCCTGCATGASGACATAYAGGAGAGGTGAYAAAAAGCACATGAAACACAGAAGGWCTTCAAGCATSTACAGACAGCATCATATGGGAACACTCAGCTGCAGAAGAGTGGAGGGCAGGCAGAAAAGCTGCCCTTCCACCTGCACAGTGGCCAGTGCACAGGATAAAAAGTAGGACTCTCATCCAATGGATCTCTCATTACTACAATGCAGGAAGCAAATCAGGTAAGTCAGGAATCCAGGCCTTATAAATTTATCAACAGAGTTTGCTGACTGGCCACCTTCAGTTCAATTTTTCCACATTGAATTTTGATTAAAAAGAAATTCCAAAGAAAACCACTTCGTTCTCTCTGGTTTAAATATGTTTAGGGAACATTCTGCACTACAATGAGAAAAAAAAGCAAACAGCCAAATGAGAAAAGCAGTGTGGCTACATGTAATACACTTAAGAAATGAGGGGACAGATAAACATTTTGGTTGCCACTTCAGGTCTACTGGTAGCTAATTTATTCTAGCTGTCTCTTGCAAGGAACAGGGTTGTGTAGCATGAAA